ATCCATGAAGAAGGCGAAAGACAGAAAAAGGTGATGGTGAATGACATGCGTTTCTGTCATGAGATAGTGAGCTACATCATAGGCTTGAAACCCCGCACATACAAACCCAATCACATTTACTGATAAACAGTACCTGCCAAATTTACACATACAATCAAACGACGAATGGATATGGAAAATGCAATAAATATATGGAGAAAAGGGGCAACTCAATTTATTTCTATTTTGACCAAATTGTAGCAGAATTTTAATTAAGAAAGCCTCAAGTCATCAAATAAGTAAAAAGAGAAAAACCTGTATTCTTTATAGCGATCATAAGAGTCACCACTCCAGCCTTGTGATTTATCAGCAGCCATAACAGAGAAAGAAATCAAGCACAAAACGATCTCGCTTAATCGAAACCCTAAAGCCGCCATAATCACCCTATGATGTACCTTCGATCTCCTCAGTACCGCCGCCACTCCCGCTCCTCCTCCTCCAGCTGAACCACTTATCCCGGTCCTCGTCGTCGCCCCCGGCCCCTCCTCCCTCACGACGCGGTTCACTGTCAAATGCAACGAATGTTGCGGTGGAGTACTCGGAGGAGGCGGTGAAAAAGAAGAAGAATTGGGGTTGAACTGGGTGGACTTGTCGATGGCAACGAGTGCCTTGGAGTTGTCGAAGGGGGGTTTAACGGGGGAAGCTTCAAGGGAAAAGTAATTGGAGATATTGTCGGGGTCCCCGTGGTCGGATCGGAGAGGAGAGTGGAGTCGGAAAGGTGAGTGCGGGAACTCGTGGTGAGTCATTGACTCGGAATTTGAAGAGGAGGGTCGTTTCATGACGTCGTTGGGGTTTTGATTCCATTTCATCGTGGCTTTGGTTTCCATTGCTTTCTCTCGCATTTTAATATGTTGAGTGAGTGAGTGAAAGTGTATCAAAAACGAAAACTAGATTTAAAATAAAAATCAAGTCCAAGAAAAGCAAGTCGCGGGAGAAGGGCGATATTAATTACTTCCCCGCCTTTTCCTTTTCGTAGCGACAGCTACCACGTGGCATCTGTCTGGAAATTTTTAACCAACAAAAACCCGCCACGTTCTATTAATTTTTAAACACTGTGACGTGGCACCGTATTATTGGTTGACTTATTTGACACTTCAATTCAGGCAGAATCTGGAGATTCTACGTAACTCAAGCTTTTCAATATTTTTGTCCTCACATAATTAATATTTGATAGAATTGGTTAAAAATAGAAATTCGATGGAATAATTTACGTAAATAATATGATAATGTAAATTAGAGTTCATTGAATTATATTTGTTTCGTTTAAAAATTATAAAATAATCATATAATACATGAAATAACAAACATAATCAAAACTTCATTGATTCCGTTCTCAAGTAGTCAAGCTGTATCCCAAGATATACTTTGGTTGGGATTTGTGACATTCGGTGGTTTTTCTGTACGGCAGTCTTAATATACGGTTAAAGAAATATTCTAGCGAAAATGTTAATATTTTTTTACATTCATGATAAAGCGCTATCTAAAACATTATTTTTTTACCAAAAATATTAATTTCGCTAACAAATTTCCTGTAGAATCCAATATTAACATTTCCGGTAAAAAATAATATTTTAAGTAGCGCTTTACCGAAAATGTTAAACATTTTAGGTAACACTCAATATTAACATTTTCGGTAAAAAATAATTTTAGATAGATGTAATAACCAATTTTGGTCCCCCATACTGCCAATACCTTGATGTTTCCCACGCAAGCACCCTGCCCAACAGCAGCTCCCATACCTTGTTGTTACCCAGGTCAGCACCATACTTCGATGTTTCCGGTGCCTGCACTAGCACACCATCAAATGTTGCCCATGCTAGCATTTTACATTTCTGCAGAATTAACTATTTTTTTTGTAATGGGTATTTAACCCCGAGAAAAAGCAACGTAAAAGGGGACGAAAAATGGGAAAATAAAAACACTGTAACAAAAATTTCTCAGCAAGGAACATATTCTTCAAGCAATAGAAAATACCAAGAGAAAGAGGTATTTTATTTTCGGTTTATCAGTTCAATTACATGAATACTAAAAAGTAGAGTTTAGTTTCTAGTTTAATTCTAAGTACTATGTGAATCCTAGAGCTTAAAAAAATTAAAAGATAAAAGGGGTTTAGGAACTTAGCTTACTATCGGGGTTCGACCAGTGCCAGAGCTATTGTCCGGGAGTAAGTTAGAGTCGGACTAGGGGTTTAGGTTGAACGGCCATCGCATATGGTGGTAGTTCGTTGCGCGGTTCTAGATCGAAGCAAAGAGGAGGTGTGGGGACGTGTTGTTGTCCCCGTGCGTTCCCGGTTACCGACTGACCGAGGCGTCGTTCACTCCGGCTAGTCAGAGGGTTGGTTGTCGCCGCACGCGTGAAGAGAGAAAGAAGGCTGCTAAGGTGTATAAGAGGTTCGGGCTGAGTGAAACCAAAAGAAGAAGAAGAAATTATATTTAGGAATTTTGGGTTATATCACGCTCAGATCCCTGAAACTTTAGTGTATTTTGTGTTTCAGTCACCACATTCGCGGGTAAATATCCGTTAGGTCCTTGTTGTTTTTGCCGTGTTTTATTTAGTCACTAGGTTGACCGTTTGTTTGGTTATTTCAATTTGGGCTGCATGTTCAAGTTTTATTTTATTTTAGTCACTTGTTTGTAAAGTTTATTTGTTTTATGTTATGGTTTGTCATATTTATATATTTACATTTTAAGCCATATTATAATATTTATATACATATTTCATGTTTCAAATGTACTCATGCATATGTTAATTTATTTTTTATTTTATTTCGTGCACATGTTGTATCATATGTAATTATATACATACTTATTAAATTTATTTTATGTCCTTGTATATTCATATATGAAAATGTATTGTAAATGTTTATTCCATTTCATTCAAATTGATTTATTTTAACTTGTAAAAATATCTAGTTGTCAATATTTTTATTTGTTCGAATATTTTCAAGAACAATGATTTGTAGAATGGGCGTGGAGAGTATCGCTTGATCGAAGTGGTGTAATCTGATATGATGTTCGAACAAATGTGAACTTGAAATAAAATTGATTTTATTTTTCTAATTAATTCTTTTTATTTTAAGATGAGCAATGTGATGCATGTTACTAAATAGCGGTTGACTTTATATAAAGATCGATTTTCATTTTATATTCGATTAAAATTTTTAATCAATAAGTAGTGAATATTCTTTTACTAATAAGAAATAGCCGAGTTAACTTTCTCGATGGAAGATTGCTAATTTCGGAATTTCTTTTTGAGTTAAGGAAGTTTCTCTAATTAATAAATCTGAAGCACATTAAATCAATGTTCGATAAACGGATCATATTTTAACTTTATATTTGATTTATATTTTCCACCATTACGACAATGTGTAAGCGACATAGTACCAGTTTTGGGCGGCGTTGTGGGGTGCTTATCCTTCCCCATGCGTAATCGACTCCCGGACTCTTCAAATCGAAATTCTAGTAAACGCAGACCAAATTGTCTAAAAATGATTTTTCTTAAAATTGTTTAAAAGACGTTTTAGGTATTCGACCTACCTAACCCAAAGGTCGATGGCAACTCCTTTTCATTTTAATTCTAATCAATTCAAAAAGCGCCAAATATTCCAAATTAAAGTCGTAACTGTTTTTAAAACTATAAATAATGGTTTCACCTAAAAATGGTTATGACAGCTTGGCGATTCCATTGGATAATTTTTTTAGAGAGTCAGGCTGTAGGTCGTTTACACATTGTCTTTGTGGTGGAAATTATGAGTTCGAGCCTATAGTTAACTTATGATCCTTTTATTGATTTTTTTAATTGCTTCATTTTTTAATTGTCATACTATCATTTTAATTTATGTTTTCAGCTCTGTCCAAGTTTTCGAGAGTTTTTACGTTTCATTTTGAGTCAAAGGTAGGTGTGTTCCTCCTCACACACATCACGTGCATTTACATGACATGAACTCTAGACATGAGCTCCAACCCTTTTAAGTGGGGGCGAAAGCGACGCCTTTGTGGGAATTTATTCTCCGTATGGGCCTAGCAAGTAACCTTCGGGATTCATATACCTTATGTCTTCGTGTGAGTTTATTCTCCGTATAGGCATAAGGGAATGTATCCCCTCGAATTGAACTCGATCCATTTAAGCCTATATTGGGTGAGGATTGAGGGTTTGGCAGCCTAAAGGGGTACCGACGTCAAAGACAATTCGAGTACCCCTTTCTCAGTAGAGTCGAACCATGCATACAGTGAACCGTAGAACAGTCAACATAGGTATAGTCGTACCGAACCTCTGTCCGTCAGTAGGTAGCCAAATTAAGTATACACAAAGGAGGAGCATTTCTGAAGCTTTCCTTTTGCTTTAATTTTTGAATAATAGTATGTGAACTAGATACCATGCGGTTAGGATTAATTTCTTGTAAATACATCTTTGTGGGTAAAAAGCATGTTTGGGTAGGATTACTATATAATAAAAGCATGCTCGGGTAGATATCATGATGAGGTAGGTGTTATATAACATTTTTATCTTTATCGATTGTCTTACATGTACTGACTATTTTTCACTTCTTTTGTTTGTGTACACTAACCTATTTTTTCTTTTGTCTATGTCATATTTCATCGTTTTTGCATTACATTGCATCGTCATAACATAATGCAAGAGTGTTGATCAGCAAGGGGATATTCATGAGAAAATTTTCAAAAGAAGAGATACAAGTTTTCAATCAAGCAATCACATACACAGACATACACCAAGGGCTAAAAGAAGCTCAGAGTACAAGAATGAGACTTGCTCAAAGATTGTACAACATTCGAGACTGAAATGATGATCCACTGATCTGAGGAGTAATCCAGCAGTGGTGTCTTATCTACATTCATCTCATTGCTTACCACCAAAGAGTAACACACTGGTTTCAACATCGCCGAGGCATTAATGGAGTTAGTTTACAGAGCTCAAAGATCGTGCAATATTCGAGACTAAAATGATGATCCACTGATCTGATAAGTAATCCAACAGTAGATTCTCATCTACGATCATCTCATCGCTAGTTATCAAGGAGCGACACACTGACTTTAGCACCGATGGGGCATTAACATAGTTAGGATACAAAATACTTGAGAGGCATTTTCAAGAAAGAAAGTCCAAGATGAAGCGGTGATCCACTTCAGACTCAATAGCTAATCGAAGAAATGTTTGTAAAGTGACTGTCTTGTAATGTGAAAACTTTTATCACTGGTGAAAATTATTCTACGATTTTCATCGTTGGGATCAACATTTTTGCATCTGCATTTGCATCTTTGCATTTTGCATTTCATTTTTAAGCATTTTCAAAAAAACAACCATAAATATATTAATTTATAAACATTTATTTTGAAGAAAAGTACCCCATAAACCGATAAAAACCAGTCCGAGGCCACACATTCGCATAATATCAGAAGAAATACTAAGAAAATGGATGCTAAACTCGAGCAAGTGCAAAAGGAAATTCATAAAAGGCTTTTGAAGATGCAACAAGAATGGGAAGCCAAAATAGAGCAAGAGCAAAAAGCCACCATGGACCGTATCTTGCAAAACCAAAAAGACCTAGTTGATCAAATGGTAGAAAAATTTGCTGGGCTCAACCAAGAAAGAGGCAGAGAGAATATTTACTCAACTATAGGAGCCTCTGAACGTATAATGGCCAATGTTAATCAACATATATTCATTTCACCCCCATCAGATTCCAAGTCACCAAGTAGGTTTCTTCACCACTGAAACGCAAGCAACCGTGTTAAATCCTCGGGGTAATTCCATTGGTCATAACATACCCGCTCTTGAGGCGACGAGAAGAGCCAATAATGAGATCCCGAAAATTTTGAAACAAT